ACATGATAGTGTAAGTGAGCAACTTTTTGGATACATCTTAGTTATCCCGTGGTGCTTTTCATTTCTCTTTCATTCTCTCCTTGTTTTGTTCTTAATTTTATTTTATTACATACATACATACATGCATACATACATATATATTTTCCCAAATAATGGTTTTGTAATCATGTATTGCTTCATTAGTTGCCTTGATAAAAACTGATGATGGAAATCATTTGACAGTTTGATGTTAAGCTGCCAAATAATTGAAGTATGGGAAACTTACCGTGGATAATAGCTTTGGGTATGGTTTAACATTACTCAAGATAGGTTTCTTGATGTTGTGTGTTGCATTTCATGTTGAGCTTGTGGATCTACTACCATATGAGTGTCGAATTGCAAGTAAATTTTGCTATTGTGTGTTACAGCTTGCCTACAATAACTTGGGTCTCAAGGAAGGCATGTTGGTGTGAGTGCACTCTTGGATCATGATCCCTGGGGATTTGGTTTCTGTATTATGGCTAGTATATTCATGGGAAATGCAACTATCATTATTTTGAGTGGTATGGGAACTCTTTGAATGCTGTGTCATTTTGCTGGAAAGCCATTTTTGTGTATGAACAGGGATGTTAGGGAACTACGTGTTATGGTTTGATATTGTATGGGGAAAACAAATATTGCATTTTACAAGGAATTTTCTATCAAGGGTAGGTGGCATGTTTGGGGTGTGGTCACATTTGTGGGCTTTGTTTTGACACCTGGCATTTTTGCAGCTAGCTGATGGGTATTTGGCGCAGGTTCTGTTTGTTTGCATTTTTTAAGTTGGTGTTAAATTGCTGGTAACTGGTAAATTCCAGAAGGTATTTGTATTTGAGTTGGAATTATTGTTGTGAGAACCAGTGGCTTGATTGGGCTTTTCATTAGTGTAATGTACTCTTCAGCATTTGGATGGTTGAATCGGGTTAAGTTGAGTGGTTCTTAGTACCTACTAAGGAATTCTACTTTTCATTGTTGTTATATCAAGTCTTAAGTCCATAAGAATTGTGGAATTCCACTATCATCCCATTTTTCTAGTCTCTGCTGTGCTGTTTAGGTCTTTGTTATTTGTTGTTGTTTAATGGGTTTAGTCTGGGAAGTTGCTGCATACCTCTTTAAAATCTTGGGTGGTCTCCATCGGGTTCTGATTTCCAATTTAGTTTCACTGGCTGTTTGGGGTGAGTATAGACAGTGCATATTGGACATGACAAAGTACCTTTTGTGTTCAGGAAGATCGTTATGGCTTCTGTCCACCATGTTGCTTTGAACTATTGGGTACTGTGGTTGCGTGGAATATATAATGTTACATTATTTCTAATAATTCACAGGTGTTTGTGAAGTAATCTAATAATTCACAGTTGGTTGTGAAGATAATCGGATTAAATTGGTTGCCACTTAATTTGTGAATTATTAAGCTACTGCGAACCTTGCTGTCTTCTACTGGTGGAATGCTTGTTGGTTTTGCTGCCCTTGAAGCTTGTTTTTGACTGAAGTTATCGGGACATACTTGTGCTTGGGTTATGGTGGTCTGTGTTGGGCTTCACATATCAACCAAGCTTCATTCCCATTGCTATTGTGAAGTTAAGGCTGATCCTGATAAATTGATTTGGTGTTGTTAACTCAGTACTTAGGTTAGAAACATATCTTTAAGGATGCTCTGGGTGATGAAATGGGAGGACATGACCTGTTAAAGTAGGAAAAAATGGACTTGTTGGTCATGTATGTAGATTTTGGTGACTTCAAGTAACTGGTTTTGGTTATACTATGTGCTGCTCCAGTTGTATTCATTGTCATGGGGGCTATCATTTGGAGAGAGAGCAATAGGCCATTATCATGTGAATGCCTTACTCTTCCGCGTTTGGTATCTCCTTTATACGCACTTTTTATGGGGAAATGCCCTGACTGATGATTCATGTCATTGCTGTTTTGTTGGATCGGTTATTTCACAGTTTTTGGGTCAAATCTACAGCTAGCATTTCTACGTTGCACTAACAAAATTTCTCCCTTGTTTTAGGGGTTGCTCATCTTTAGATTTCGCTGGCTTTTTTCCAGGATATAGGCTTCGTGCAGGTTCTGGTTCTCCTGTACGTCATAGGGATGCAGATCACAGATACAATTCTGATTTTGATAATTCAGGGGGGCCATCTCGAGGTCGTGATTTTAGCAACAGGAAGTATCATGGTAGATTTCAAGATTCTTCACCCCCTTGTGCTCGAGGAAGAGGTTTTGATGGGCCTGGACTTGGTCCAGGACGTCATAGAGGGGAGGGCATGGGTAGGAATAATCCAAATGTACGCCCTAGGGAAGGCGACTGGATCTGCACAGATCCTTTGTAAGTTCATATTTCATAGTTTTTTATTGTATGGTTTCGCTCTCCATTCCTCCACACCCTTTTTTCTCTTTTCTTGGTACCTGATTCTGGCACTTTGGGGTCATTAAATTTGAGTTGAATAAGACTTGAAGTTGGTTATCTCCTCCCTGTCTTAATATCACTTCCTAATTGTATGCAAATGATAGAAGGAAAGGGTTTTAGCTTTTAACGGTTGATTTTGTTTTAGCATGTTTCTTATGATACCGTGAAGATGGAGCATCTTCAAATCTCATGTCATTTTTCCCTTTCAGATGTGGCAACCTGAACTTTGCAAGGAGAGATTTCTGTAACAATTGCAAGAGGCCTCGCTATAGATCTGGAGGGAGTCCTCGGCGGGGTTATCCTGCCCCCCTACATCTGCATGCTCCTCCAAGACACTTTCCCGGTCCTTCATTGGATCTCTCTCCAGGCAGGACTATGAATGGCTATAGGTCTCCTCCTCGAGATTGGGCCAGAGACAGACCCAGAGATTATGGGTCTGGGGGTCCGCCTCCCAGGCAAGGGGGCCGGTTCTCTGACCATGACATGAGGAGAGATCGATCTGATTATGCAGATGATGAATACAGGGGGAGGAACAATTTTGACAGGCCAATGCCAATGGATTGGGGTTGGGGACATAATGACCATGGAAGGGATACCTTTTTCCATGAAAGGAAAGGGTTTGAGAGACAACCACCCTCTCCACCTCTACCTCCGCCTTCACTTCCTCAACGTGGCAGATGGGGTTGTGAAGAGAGAGACAGGAGCAGATCGCCAGTTAGCACCGCCAAAAGAGTTCAGGACATGTACATGGAGCAGGGGCGGCAAGATGATTGGCATCGTGTTGGGCGAGGCAGAATGAGAGATGTGTATTGAAAGAAGTGAGGCTATGGAGCTTGCATTGTTCATCTTGGTATCATGGTAGTTCTGTGTTCTTTGCTGGGTGAGGATGGATGTTATTGCACAGCTCAAAACTTAAATAGGTTTTCTGACTACTATCGATGTTGTTTGATTTTCGTTTATTAAAGGTTCTTTTATTAATGGTGCATTAACGCCGGTCTTCAAGTTTTTCTTTCCTTTTCTTCCTTCCAAAAAGAAAGAAAATAATAATAATAATAATAATAATAAGAACTTGGAACCAGCATTGCTGTGTCTGTATCACTTTCGGCTCTAAAACTGAACTTTGGCTGCTCGTATGAAAAACGACCCGTTACAATTCAGCATGCAACCGTGTTCCATGGTTCACGGCTTCGACTACTTGAGAATGTAAGGATGGTTGCAGGAATCTTGTTGGCAATCATTTTATATTTTAATCTGGATGTCACGAGCATCTCCTTTGCAGGAGAATTTTCCAACTCGGTCTTTCTTTTTCAAATGTTGATAAGACCCGTGGATTCATGTATTTTAGTGAAACACAAGAGACAGGCTCCTTTTGTTTTGTTTTCAAATGGTTGATTTATGCACACTTCTTGAACACAGGACATCGTGTGTCGACTCGGATTCAACAGGGTGTTTCTTAGCCCCTTCCATGTGAAAAAAAAGGTTATCAAAAAGTTAAATTTGATTTGACGTAATCATTTCTGCGGATTAATATACAATTTAATTATAGCTTGGATTCTTGTTAAATTTTTATTATTGGCAGTTTGAATCTTATATCAAGTCAAGTTTAATAATTATATTACCAATAAAGAATTAGACTAAGAAAAAGAAATGAAACTCAATGTAGGGTGGGTATTTCCAAAGCCGATTTTATCATAGAAAATAATTTGATTTATGAAGCGTCTGTTTATTTTATATTTTAAAAATATTTGTAAAAATTTTAAATTTTTTATTTATTTTAAATTAATATATATTTAATATTTTTAAGTAATTTTAATGTGCTATTATAAAAAATAATTTTTAAAAAATAAAAAATATTATTAATATATATTTTAATAAAAAAATTATTTAAAAAACAATAACAATTCAACTTCAAAAGAGAAGAACATTGAAGAACTTGCCCTATTCAAAAGAGAAGAACATTGAAGAACTTGCCTATTTTAGCTGCGCAATATTTAGTGTCAGACAATTTCTTCCCATATATATATTTTTCTCGTTTTAGTTACAATCACGTGCTGATATTCCTCTGCGTCTAGAATAGATCTTGTCCATCCATAAGTTACCTTGGAGTGCTGAGATTTACTTGGGAAATCTGTCACCAAATCTTACAACTTTACCTTATCTCCAACTCTAACTCCAAGTCAACAGTTTAGCGCCAATTTTATATTCTATTTTCACTTTTCACGGAGAGGGAGGAGAAGTGAAGAACCCACTAAAAAAAATTCCCTCCTCTTTTAACTCATAACCCAACCATCCAATAACACGTTGCCAACTAACCATGTCCCTACGTGGCATGAATCCGTGGGTCGGGACTTGTAAATTCTTCGCACCCTGCACCACAGTGTACACTATCCCAGTAGACAAATGGAGTCACACCATTAATGTTGAAATTTTAGAGGATACTTAATCAAACGGCGAAACAACGATACCTGATTCTCTATCTATGAAATATGACCGTCAGATCATCGAATTCAAGAAAAACCGTCAGATTAGAAACAAAACGGAAATCCAACCATTGAATAAAGAAGAAAATTGAATTTCAAAATCACCTGACAGAGAGGGAGGAGAGACACTCGAAACGAGAGAAGAAGAAGAAGAAGAACAACAACAACAACAACAACAACAACACCAATAATAAAACCAAAACCAAGACCAAAAACAGAAGCAGAGCACAAAACAAAAACACTCCTTTGCTAAACTACAGTTACTTTTTTTAATAATAATTACACTCAAAACCGCGCCTTTTCGTTCTCTCTCTAGCCCCCCCTCTCTTCGGTTTTGGATCAAAGTTGTCAGGAATTCTCTTTTTTGTCCAGTTTTAGTTTAAATTTCCTGTTGGGATTTATTTTGAGCTGATTAATTTCACATTCGTCAAGTAATTGTGTTTTCTGGATTATTTATTTTCATGTTTTTGGATCTGAAGGTTTGAGGATTTGTCGAATTTTGTGTAATTATTGAGAGGGAAATTCTCTGGATTCATTATTTTTTTTTTTGTTAAAGAATCTGAGAAGGGGTGATTTGGGGAAAAAATTGAATTAAGATGGGGGAAAGTGAGGGAAGCGAATTCCCTCCAAAAAAGCAGCAGCAGCAATCGGAGAATGCATATTTTCAGACCAAGAAGCTAGCCAGACAGCTCGATTTTACACAGGGTGTACTTCCTGACCATCCTCAATCGCAGCCGTCGCCACTGCAAAAGCCGCCTCTCCTGGTTTCCCCGGCGGCTGCGCAGAGCCAGCCCCAGCCCCAGCCCCAGCCCCATCCACAATCCCAACTGCAACTGCAGCCACAGGTGGCTGAGATTCAAGTGGTACCGCAACAGCAGACGCAGCAGCAGCAGCAGCCAGTCAGGGCTGTGTAAGTTACAATTTGTAATTTTTGAAAAGAAAAAATTGCTTTCTGAGATGGTATGTGTAGCTTTTGCTGTGTAGGTTACTAAATTTTCAATTTTCTTGGAATAATTGGTTATGGAATTTTACCAATCTGTGGGCTTAATAGAAATTTTTGTTTGAAAGTTTTGATTTTGGACTTGCAAAGTTTTCATATTTGCTAATTTTGGAGGGTTCTTATCACTGCTCTTTCTCTCATCAATTCAATTTTGGATTTTTCATTTTTTTTTGTTTCAATTGTTGGTAATGAATTAGAAACCATAAAAATTTTCCATTTTTGTGTAGGTTTTCAAAAAAATTTCCAAGGAGACAATTTGCTTGCTTAGTTTTCTTAAAAGAAAGGAACTCTTTTTTCCCTTTGAATAATGAAAAAAAGAGACAGTCTTGTAAATGTGATTCCTCACTAGGATAGTTGTTTTCCCTTTCCTATTGATGAAGATGTTTTGGTGTGTTTATTTTCAAACTGAGATGCATTTGGTGAAGAATTGCCCCAAACATGAAGTTTAGAGAAGTTTTGGTAGAGACAGACACGAAATTAGTTACTTCGCAACTGTTTTCATTGTTTGAAACTCTGCATTGATCAAGACACAGAATTAGTTTCCATTATGACATTCTTTCAATTTTTCATCCGTTTATTTCTTTCCTAAGAGTTTAAGACTGCTCCCCGCCATGTTCAGGAAACCAGAATCACCAAAATCAATACCAATACCGAACACTGAATTGAAAGATGGTACTCCAAAGAAGCAAAGACAGTGTAACTGTAAACACTCACGGTGCTTAAAGCTGTAAGTACATCGTCGTAGTAATGTTTCATCAGTGTGATGATATTGAGTTATGCTTTAGAGTCAGCTTTGCTGTTTTGTTTCTGATGAAATTTAATTCAAATACATTTTGGTCGTAGGATTTAGTGCTTGTTTGCTTTTCTATTTAAGAATTTTGAAAATGGAGTTACATATGTTGATTTGTTATAGGGTTTTATTTCAACATAAAAAGAAACAATTGAATTCCTTTTCCACTCTTATATCCAGGAAGTACACGTTTTAAGTGCAACACTGAAGGTCTGGTACTGCTCGTCTCAAGCCATATGCTTGAAATGATTTTCATACATTTAAACAATGCCTAGGAAGCTTGCTTAAATCATTTTAAACATATGGTGCCTTCTTTCTGTGTTTCAGTTGCACGATATCCTAGCATTCTGTATAATGGGTTTTGGGTTTGCTTTGACTTTCCTGGTTTTCTGGGAATTTTATGTCAATTCTTGTTCTGCAGTGGTCGGTACAAGATATTTGCTGATATATAATTTTTTTCATGTCTGGAGCAGTTACTGTGAGTGTTTTGCCTCTGGAACATACTGTGATGGGTGCAATTGTGTTAATTGTTATAACAATGTTGAAAATGAGGCTGCTAGGCGGGAAGCTGTTGAAGCTACTTTAGAGCGTAATCCAAATGCATTCAGGCCAAAAATTGCAAGCAGCCCACATGGAACACGGGATAGTCGGGTATGTTGGTTATGCCTATGTAGACTGCTTTTCAGCTGAATGCTTTTATGAAGTTTATTAACCAATATCAAATCATGATGTTGTTTCCTTTTGTTTTAATCTAGTTCAAAAAATAGAAACAATTGTTATGGTATTCTCAACATTTACTTCACAATGGAGTCTTTGTCATGTATAGCCATTTCTTTACCTGTGTTTTTCCTCTCTTCTTTTTGGAACCAGAGCCTTTCCCATTTTTTGATGGAATTTAAATGACAATTTTTTTTTGTCTGAAGCTATAGTTAGGTTGTATTTTTTATTGTGAAGATTTTGAGTGGTGGTTGTCTTTTTCCCTTGCTTGTGCATGAAAGGTGTTACCACTACTTGAGATGTGATATGATTTTCAATCATAACAAAATAATATTCCTTTTATCATTCTCTTTTTGCCTTGAATGACATTTTCAGTGTGTAATACCAAATAATCAAGTCTTGGACAGTGAAAAAATAATTGGGGTTTCAAATTTTGACATTAGAAGAGACAGAAGGGCTCTTGACATTGGAAGAGATTGTAGGGATCTTATATTCTCTCTCTTCGTTTCCCATTCTCCATTTTGATGGATAACTTATTCTTTATTTTGTTATTCTGTTCTTTTTTCATTATTAATAAAATTTTCTTCTATCAAAATATTCATTAGATATCAAATCATTTTCCTATGAATTTTATCTGAAATAAATCCTCATATGCTGAACTTTGTAACGTGGAGTTTCTTTTTATATATGTGGAATTTATTCATTTAGAAAATTAGCTCAACACCATTATGATAGACACATAGGTAATAATTAATTTCTTCTTGCTTGTTACTGTTGAATTTAAAGGAATTACCTTTGCTTGGAATTCAATTGAGTTCTTTTTTTTAATGAGGTAACACTGTTTTCTGGTGTTGTTGACCATCATATGAAATTGTTGGAAACAATTGCAGGAAGAAACTGGGGACGGATTGGTGTTTGTAAAGCACAATAAGGGATGCCACTGCAAGAAATCTGGATGTCTCAAAAAGTACTGTGAATGTTTCCAAGCAAACATTCTTTGTTCTGAAAATTGTAAATGCATGGACTGCAAGAATTTTGAAGGAAGCGAAGAGAGACAGGCTCTCTTTCATGGTGACCATGGCAACAACATGGCATATATTCAACAGGCTGCAAATGCTGCAATAACAGGGGCTATTGGATCATCTGGTTATGCTTCCCCTCCAGTATCTAGGAAGAGAAAAGGTCAGGAGCTTTTCTTTGGGCAGACAGTCAAGGATCAATCATTTGACAGGCTTGGACATTTTCAACAGGTAAATGTCCTCTTAGCATATTTGTTTAATTTGGTTTCAAAGATATTTTGTTTTATTGCAACTATGATTTTTTAAAGCTACCTGATCTTAGCTGTTTACAATTTGATACGTAAAATAAGCTAGTATTTGTAGAGTCAAATCAGAAAGAAGAAGAAAGACATAATCATAAAACTTGCTTCTGTCAGTCTTCTGTATCTTTGAGTCATGGTTCACATTTGCAAAATACATTCACATTGCTGTTTGTTAGATCCGTTGATTTATTACCACATCATCTTATTTGGGTCTGATTTCACAACACATGACAGTGTTACTGTGTGATTTTTGTGTTCATTAGGGAAGCCATACCAGGCCTCCTGCACCCTCTTCTTCATTGCCCTCCAATCCCGTTGCTCGTGCCGGTAATGCTATAACATTGGGCCCTTCAAAAATCACATACAGGTATGGTGGCTATCTTCATGAAAACATTGCCAATTTTCTTGTCTTCAAAACTAACCTTCATGTCATGATTGCAGGTCTCTCTTGGCAGACATCATCCAACCACAAGACTTAAAAGAACTTTGCTCAGTTTTGGTGGTTCTGTCCGGAGAAGCTGCGAAGACGTTTTCAGGTATAACGATGCTCATATATGTCCTAAAAAAAGTTTTTTCTGGTTCAGAATGTTTAAGCACAACTTTTCATTATGCTTCTATATTGCATCTCTTCATTTGCATGCCTGAATGACTGCCTATGGCCATATATCTTTGATGAAAATATCAGAATAGCTCAAAATTGTTTCTCATGGTTTATCTATTAGAACTCTTGATCATGTTTTCCAACTCCTGACTTGTTCTAACAAGTGCATGCCTTAATTTGGTTGACGTTTGCTAAGTGTAGAATGCAGAACATTTGCATGGGTGGGTTTGGATATGCCAGTTGCTTATATGCATTACGAGAAAGAAAGTTAATAGGACAAGGAATGGGTTTCATGATGATCCTACAACTCCCTAATTGTAGCATCCATGGGTACCTGTACTGTGCATTACTTACATGCAAGGTTGTCAAAAATATTTTTTTAACATGACATGTAAAATACAATGTAAACTTGGATCGTAAAATCATAAGTAAATTTTTTTAACTAATTATATATTGAAAATTTCAGCCAAAAAATTAAATTACATTAAAATTTGATGAAGAGAGTCATCAACATTATAATCAATGAATGATTTAAATAAAATAAGAGAGATAGATACTATAAATCAAGAAATTAATGACATGGAAAAATACAGTGTCTCAGAACAAAACTTCCCAATACATGGGGGAATCATTAAATGGTAGAAAGTACATAAGAACCTGATGACAACTTGGTTGTTCTATCACAATAATTCTTGATGAACCTCTTTTGAGTTACAATCTAATGAACCTAAATTACTAATTAACTAACATAAGTTTAATAATAAAATAAATTCCTAGACAATGTCTAATGTGCCAGAACAAACCCAAAATAAAAATAATTATTCAACTTTAAATAAATAAATAAAATAAGATAATAAAAATAAAGTCTTCATGCTAAAATTCCTTCATGTAACCTAAATCTGCAATTTTCACACATTCTTGGTAGATTTTAATCTTGGTTTCAAACACATTCTCTTTCATCTGGATGAATTACTGTGCCTATCATATATGGTTGGAAAGCTTGAGATGTCTAGTTTCCAGCTCAACTTAAATTTTAGCAACATTCCATCTATAGCTCCAATATGTCCCAAATAGTACACTAAGTTCTAGTTTGGTAAATTTGACAAGATTTGTCTAGTAACTTCGACTCTCTGAAATAATTTGTTCCTGAACTCTATTTGACCTAAAAATTTACCACAATATAATTTCATGTGTCCAGTTTTTCCTTGTAAAATCTCAACTTGATTCGATGTACGATTTGAGAGATATGTTCAATCTCGTAAAACTGGTTAGCAAACATTTTAAGGTCAAATTGAAACCTGACTTGATTCATATCACAAATTTACTAAACTTGTAAGATTGGACTGGGTTTACTGATTTTCCACAAATCAGGTATGATTTTATTGGTTTTCGAGTTTTAGTTCAATTTTGCACATTGGATACATGTTGACTTGTAAAATTATATGATTTTACGAGTAAACTCATGATTTTGACAACAATGCTTACATGAATTGTGGAACAAGCGAAAGCATTTTATCATTGTGAGGCTTATGTGAAGTTTTATACAAATAATTTAGTCATTCCAAAAACATCAATAAGATATAAATTTCAGCATTTGGTACATGTTTCCTTCTCTTTGAAGCTATTGAGAGTTCATGATTTGCATTTGTCGAACTGAGCTGGCCTGGGAAGAGAGGAAGCTTACTAGGTTCTAGAAGATGGTTTTTGCTTCTTGGTTTGGGAAGAGGAAAGGAAATTTGTTATGAGATTGATAGTCCCACTAAACTGGGGAATATGGAGATAGTCCTACCCTTCAGAATTTAAGCATTAAGTGTCTGCTCTTTATTTCTTAAAGGATAAGTGCAGAAAAGAAATATAGAAATGCCTCATGTTTTTAGCATTCCGAGCTTTCTCTAACAAGTCAGTGGTATAACTTCCTGGATCTTGCTCTCTTTAAAACTAGAACCCCTTCATTTTCATACAGGAGTCTCCGTTATCCACTTGCAACAAAATATCATCTTCCATGTCTGCATTCCTCTTGATATTCCATGTAATAAGTGTCATTCCCATTCTGCATCCCTTCTTGGCCTCCAAGAGCTTTCTGAGATGCTTGCAGCCATGCCAGCTTAGTTTCTTTTGACTGTGTATTTTCTGAACTGATTAGATTATCTATCATTTCTATGTCCAGTTTGGTTTGCTTTATCTCCCTGAGCTGACTATGCTCTGAGGGTTAGCTTGTGATATATAAACCTGTGTCTGAGATTTTCAAGTTTGTTTGCTAGAGGAAGAGGGCGGGGACTTTATGTGATTTATCACATTTCCTCCACCATGTGACAAGAAGTCAGCTTCATATTTGTTACTATTTGCAATTTTTTTATGGTATACCAAGCACCACCAACTAAATAGATATAAGAAGACGCCCAACTACTTATCCATTGTAAATATTTTTATGCTCTGTAGCCTTTCCTTTTCTTGAAAAATAAAGAGTGAATTGAATAGAACTATATCTGATCTGACAAAAGGGCGTTCCTTTTCATTATTTAAATGTTAAAAAAATAAAAATAAAATGTGAGTACTGCAAATAATATCTAATGAATGGGCCTCCTTTAATATTTTTGTATGCCCAGACCAAAGAAATTCAATGGAAAAGCGAGTAGAAGATCAAAGAGAAACTTTGCTTGCTTCATCTACTCAAGAAAGGTTGCAGAGCCACAAGGAATCAGATGCTGATAAAATTGTTGCTAATGATTGTTCTAGTGCAAACCATGCTGATAAAGTAGGTCCTGATGATTCCAGCTTGGATGGTGCTGATATGCCAAAAGGAAGACCAATGTCTCCTGGGACCTTGGAATTGATGTGCGATGAACAAGATACGATGCTTATGGCTGCTGCTTCCCCCAATGGGTTGATGGGCCATGGCTGCAACACTTCTTCACAGCTGCCTTGTGGACAAGGCATGGCAGAGGCTCATGCAGAGCAAGAAAGAATTGTTTTAACGAAGTTTCGAGATTGCCTTAATAGGCTCATCACATTCGGGGAAATAAAAGGCGAGTTTCTCTTTCCTGTCTCCAATTTTTTACACTAATGGTTCTAGAAATGGAAGCTGCCAGGTCTGGTATTTTGAGATGATAAACTCACATTTAATGATAAGAGACTAGTATGTCCTAATATGCATTGCCAATATGCCAATTTTATTGAACTTTTTCCCTGAAACAAACATTGCTTTTTAACTCCTTTTGTTTGTGTAGTTTGACATTATAATGCCCTAATTGAAGTTGGAAATAGTTGTTTTCTAATAGCGTATGCTAGACAAATTATCTCTTTGCAATCAGAAAGTTGCATTTACTAGAATTTCTACATTAGGAGGCACATTGGTCCTAGGGTTACACATTGGGAAATAGCCCTCTTCCACCCCATACAATCATTCTCCGTTGGCTTTGAAATTTGAACTGAGGACCTCCATAATTGGAAGAGGAAGATCAAACCATTGGAGTGAACTCTTGTGTATGTGCATTAACTACAATCAGCTACTGTGATTACATATACCACTTGTTACATGATTCTCATTTTCCACGCAATCAATTGTGATTGTTTTAAGTTTCCTTATTGCAACTTGCAAGGGCTGTCTTTAGTTGCTCCATTGTAAGGTGACATGGATTTCAAATTCTCAGTTGTTGTGATCTACGCTATTCTGATTAGTGAAATAATGACAAGATTTAAATTTCAACAGAAACAAAGTGTTCATCATTAGCCAGAACTGAGTTGGGGAATCAAAAAGACCCACTCAGCAATGTTATAGCAAACACCAGAATTGGATCTGGGAGTCAACGAGGGCCCTTTAGCAACGGGGTTGTTAAAGTTGTTCCACCAACTGCCAAGCCAACCCAGATGGTTACTTCTATAGTTTCCACCTCTGGTAGTGATCTTCAAAAAATCCCAGGCCTCCCACAAAATGGAGATAATAAACTGAAGTCTTGAAAAGAACTGCAAGGATATTTCAGCTCTGAAGACTGGTCCGAGGTATGCTACAGAATTTCTATAATACTACTACAATACCCATTCTGGCTTCGATGCTGATGCAGTCTCTACGTGGTATTGGGCCTTGGTGTTGGAACTGACCAGGATTGAATTTATTTCTCACGTAAATTAATATATCACATAGTAGTGTTTCTGCTTCAACCATAATTCAACTGGTGTAAATTTCTGAGCCTTACAATTGCACAGGATATGGTTTAATATTATTACTTGCAGTTACCATCATAGATTGTATCTTTAGATGCTAGGAATTTTCTTGTTCTTTTCACATTGTTAAAAACAAAGAGCAATTTAACGAGTTCTCATGGAATATGAAATTTCAAATTTGATCCATGAATTGCCTGCAGAAATTCCTTTATTAATTGTGTATGATACTGTTCCTACTTGCTGATTGTCTTTGCAATCTAGATGCTACATTCAATACCTAGATAGATGGAGTTGCTTTTGTCAATACATTAAATTTGATAAATTTGCCTTTGTCAATTGGTAGCATTGTTTCTCGTCTGTGATTCTACTTTTGGCACTTGCTGATGCTGCACCCGAGTTAAGGCACCCTGGGGGCAAAATACTGATAAATTTGGCCTAAACCCTGAAATTGTGGTGCCCGATATGAAATTTCACAGCCAATCAGCCAAGTTATGCTAAGCTCGTGTCAATATAGGCCATAAAGAAGTATGCATATGAAAGTATATTTTCTATATACATTGGATCTCAACTTTTCTATATTTTACTCCGATTTTCAACCAATTCTGTTCCCTAAGCTAAGAGCTGCGTTTTCAATGATTATACACTAGCTGATAACTAGATTTATTGCCAGTGCAATGCTGTGGCCCTGGATATGATTTTGGCATCAAATTGGTTGCCGATGATGTTCCCTTGTTTTAAAAAACAGAACCAGATCTGAATGCTCGAGTAACATTTCTTTTTCATGGGTAATTGTCCTGTACAAGTGTTGAAGATGGAAATAGTTTTGTTCTAGTGACACTGCAGCTTAACTTTTTTTTTTTAGATTCATGACTGGACCGGCATGGTTTGGACACGAAAAGGCTAAGCATGGCTTGGAAAAAAGATCTCAAATTCTGGATTAAAAAAAAACGGCTGGATCAGCTCCAACAAAAACAACACTAGTTTTTAAGCAGCAACTAAGCACAACATGCACAGGACACCCTCGCCAACAGAGGACACAAACTGGTCCTGCAACACATCGATCGTGTCAGTGTCGACTTGTTAAGAAAAAAACAAACGATGATGCTATTGTCAAGCAAAAACATTGAATCTGATAGGACACAGAGCCCTAGTTTCTCACGATGTAAAAGATCATCTACCCAGCTGAGCAAATGATTTGGCCTGGCTGCTTAGGTGAGCAAATCGAGCAATATTGCTCCTTTACACCTTTGAATCTTTGTACGAATGACAGCATAGCAAGAAAAGCTCAATACACAGTAGGCCCATCAAAACCGAAAGCTAGATCATGAATTTAATACCAACAAAAACACGTAGCATATTACTCATGTATAGGAACCATATCAGAAGACATTTTTTAGTAAAATTTATAAAACATGTCTTAATTTTCTAGACAACTTCGCTGATCCCACACTGAACCAGCTCTCGGAGTGGATTTTTGAACCTAAAGACCCTAGTAACATTGATCAAAGCGAAGGAAACAACATGGCAAATTACATTAGAAAAAACCAAGCTAATATAAACAAATAAATAGCTGCAATACGTAGGAAAGGGGAAGAATTCAGAAGCATGCATACAAATGAAAAGGAAAAGGGCGAAAGGTATGCAAATATTTTGGTGCATGGGGAAGGAGTGGTGGGTGGGTGGGGGAGACGAAACTGTATTCGTAAAAAATGTTAGCAAACAGAAACATAGAAATGCAAAATACCGCAAACGTCAAATGAAAGAATACTAATTCAGGATTCATAAACAATAAAAAAGAAGTCCTTCATTGAAAAAAGTTAGGGCATTGCAAGCAAAACAAAATTGCCATCAAAACACGAGCTAATTGGACACCATTGCGAGTAGCTGCTGGGAAGAAAAAGATAGCAATGGCCATTAACTTCAGAATAAGGAGGAAAACTATTATACTACTAATTTAACAGTCAAAAGTCAATACAACATAGGAAGTTAGTTTCTGAATTTCAATTTAGAGACGTTGATGGGAATCCATGTGACATTTGTTTCAGGAAGCACTTTCTAAGTTTGGTCAGTTTAAGTAGCAAGAAGAGGGGCTTGCAACAATGAAAGGAAAGCTTGCCCCACCATACATACCAGTCAAGATTTTAGAATGGAGAGAGAAGGAATTAAGGAATAAAATGTCTTTGATAAGAATACAATGTAGAAATTCACAAATTAAAGAAGCAACATGAGAGAGAGAATAAAGATGGAGAAGAAATATCCTATGCTGTCTTTACATGGAGGTACGAACATCCATTTCGAGGATGAAATTCTCCTCATGAGGGTCAATACAAACCTTGGTAAGAAGTAAGATTAAACTTAAATACCTACTAAATAAATTCTAGAAAGGTGATTAATAATTAGAGAATTTAATAAGTTTGTATGAGTGAAGTATAGCCCAAAAAAACATGAAAGTAAATATTATAAACCACAGGAAATGTTTTTAGAAATTTTGCTAGTAAAGAAAACACTTGTAAACATGAAATATGACTTAAAAGAGCATGGGAGTGGTGTGTGTGTGTGTGAATGTGAAGGGGAATGTGAGGGGCAAAGAAAAAGGCCATATAAGATGGAGGATTATAGGGATAAAAAACAAAAATAACATAAAAAGTCACCCTCTGTTTTCTTTGAAGAGCCTGACAACTTATAGAGGAGAAAAACCTCTACTCCTTCATCTTGTCTTCAAGTTTTCTTACCAAAAACCCATTGCATGCATCTCCTTTGAGCTTATAAAAAGAGAGAGACAAGTAAATGAACATGAGAGTTGGACTTGTAGGTCTAACTAGAGAAAGAAGACACTGCCAAAGAAAGAGAGAGAAGAAGAAACTATATAGGAGGAAGAAATGGGAGATGAAAATCAAAGAAGAAAAGGGTACTAAACATGCTTAAGTCCATTTCAAGGTATTCTTGGTAAGTATTGATGTAAAACTCCAAATTCTTAAGTTTGAAAACATTCTTGGATTGTGTTTTTGGGTTATTTGATAGCATACAATTTGAAAACATTCTTAGATTGTGTTTTTGGGTTATTTGATAGCATAATAGTTATTTAGGTTTTTAGGGTTTTTTTGTAAAAAATGCTCGAAAATGAATTTTTAAATGTAAAACACCATCCTCAACATTTTAGCAACCTCCGTTGTTGTTGCTTGCTATTATTTTCAAAAAAAATTGTCCATCTCATAAAAAATAATGTTTTAGCAACCTTCGTTGTTGTTGCTAAAATCTACATCGCTTGCTATTGTTTTTTTAAAAAAATTGTCCATCTCATAAAAAATAATAAATATACCTAGAGGCGTGGGCTGTCCAAAGCCATCATGCCTTGACCTTTATGTTTTTTTGTTTAATCTGATACTTCTCGCTTGAATTTTTTGTATTTTTTTAATTTTATTATTTAATATTTTATTAATTTTTAGCTATTCAATATAATTTTTTATTTAATATTTGTAAATTTATCATGATTTTAAATAAATATTTTAATATTTATTGATTTTTATTTTTTTATAATATAGTTAAATATAAAATTATAAAAAAAATATTAAATTTTATTGAATTTATAATACTGATGATGAGTTTAGCTAGTTAGAAATTGAGTTTTTTTTAATTTATTTTTATTATACAAATAATTTTTAATTTATTTAATTAAATTTATATATAAATTTTTGGATTTATAATTGAAAATTTTTTTACGTGGAAATGCACATTTAAAATACCATCATATGCATTTTTCATTTTTCTTGTGGTGGGACATAATGATAGCTAACCTAGCCTACACTTTCTCAAGTCTAGCAATAATTGCTGAAACTCGAGGAAGAAGGGAAAAGAGATCCATGAACTTGTGCTTTAGATATTCGAGGCCACTGATAAGAGACACTTGGCAATTTTCACATTAATTGCTTTTCTTTTTCCTTTTTGGGAATGGATCTCATATTTGTGATGGCTTAAATACCATCATTGCATATCATTTTTATTTTTGTTCGAATGAATAATTATAAGAAAAATAATGCTTATATATACGAAAGTTGAATATTATTTAAAGATGCAGCAATAAATGAAATCATTATATAATATGGTATTTAAAGGGAATAAGAAAGGAGAAAGAAAAGATGGAAGAGGAGGGCTTAACCACGTAGGCGTTTGTAACTTGTGATAATTTTGGCCGTATAAACACGCGTGTTCACGATGGAAAATCAAGAACAAAAGATCTTTACCATTCAACGCGTCGTTTGTCCATAGAAATACAACCACTTTATTTAGCCATCCATCCACGAGGAGTTCAAAAACGACTACCGACAACTTGAACAACAATTTCTTGAAAGAAATTCTATTGCCTTCCGGATTTCTGCTTGGGGGGGTGGGGGGAAGGTAATAGCATTGAATTTATTACTCTTGATAAAATTATATGCCTGAAGTCTGGGCTAACCACTCGACATAGAACTGTAGACTACATGCGTGACCTTGACCCTGAAGACGATGAAGCAGGCGCACTCTGCATGGAAGAGCAAGAGGTTATCAGCGGTCCTTTACAACTAATGCCGTGTACATCTCCATGGTCGTTTTCACAATTAATGCACTTGAGGGCAAATAAATGCATAAATGAAGCCCCATTCAACAAATGAAGAGTCGCAAAAAAGAAGAAGAAGAAGAAGAGAGATGACGGGGCCCTTACCAGTGGTATGCCTCCAGTTGCTCTTTCTTCCAAAAACTTTGATGGTTTGTAGAAATCACCAAATCTTTGAGACCATTTCTTCAGGCTATCATATACATGTTTAGGCCCAACTAGGTCAGCCCAAAAGACGATGCCACCACTGCCAAATAAGAACACTTGCCATGAGATACAAGTGCCAGGTTTTTCCAAAAAAGTACGGGCAGTCAATGGGCAATAAAAAACTTGCACGAGGATTCTGTAAGATATTAGAGGACTTTAACATGAACGGGTGCATGCACGCAAGAGAAACGTGGTTCATTAATGCAAAAAACAAGGGCTTGCAACTCATCTTCTTGCTGACAACCACATGAAATGAAAAAAAATCCTTGTATCCCTCGAGCCTATATTCCCCTCCTGGGAATCTGTTCAGTAAGATTACTCTTGGAAGAGCTAAACAAGGGGAAAAACTTGAAATTTGGACAAGTACTCACCGATAAGACGGGAAGCTCATTCCGAGAACAGATGCGGTGTCCAGGTCTGAAGCTCGAACCACAACACCCTCATCCAGAACACGGCATGCCTCATTCACCACTGGAAAGAGAACCATCTCCACTATCTCTTTGTCAGTGATATTTATAGGCTGCCACATAAAATCCAGTAAAGTAGATTAGGAAGTCTTCAGCTAAGCAACCGAATATGTACTTGTGACATTGTCTCCAGCACTAGTGCGCTCTCGATATCATCTTAAAACAGACTACTATAGAATCTCAACATAATGGCAGTTTTCATTGCAATAAAACTACCTTTCCATCAGGCATAATATTTGCAAGCCGTCTCGACTCCTCAATAATTGGTAGGACTGATGGATCAGGCCTTGGCTTGCTTCCTTTCTCGTATATGTAGTATCCTTTTCCATTGGTTTTACCTGAAATGCCAAAAGAGAGTATGAACCCGTGACACAAGATTGCAAAGCAAAGCATCACCACGATACATAGAAGCAAATGTCATTTGAATGCCAATATAAATCTATATAAATATTTTATTACCATTTCTTCCATTTTTTACTAGAAGATCAATTAATGGAGACTGGAATGTACGATCAGGGAATGCATTAGCAAATTCTTTCCCAACTGCAAGGGCAACTCCATATCCAGATAAATCCTGAAGCCTGCAAGAGTAACCATGGAGCAGTGCAGAAAATTATGATCACCTATTTAAAGTACCCTAAAAGTTAATGCGCTTGAACACATTTAGAGACAACTCTGTTAAGACATTGATGCAAAAGGTAGTCCTTATATTGGCAGACAAAATATCATTTCAACGATGTATGAATGCACAAACACTACACGCCAAAGGAGACTTCACCCGCTACCAATATTTTATAAAAAATGAATAATGGTGGTATTTTTTTTCTGAATTTTAAATTCAAATCAATTGGTTTCACGGTTGATAAAGGTTTGTTATGAATCTCTACCCATTAAAGCATTAGATCCAGAAGACTTTATGTTTATGCAATTAATTGTGACAAAAATGCATGTTTTAAATCATCCTTAAAAATGAAAAAAAGTGATGCAAATGCAAACTATAACGTTAAAGGATAAAACATTACTGGAAAGGACCCATTGGGAGGCCAAAACTGCTGATCAGTTTGTCAATCCTGAACACGTCCACTCCTAAATGAACCAAAATCAGTGCGCTTTGGGTGTATGGGAAGAATGATCGATTGACTGCAAAGCCGGTGCAGTTACCCACAACAACTGGAACTTTCTTTATGGTTTTACCAACAGTCATAAGATCAAGAATTGCTTGGGCAGAAGTCTTCTCAGTCCGTACAATCTCCAGAAGAGGCATTATGTGAGCAGGACTGTCCATAAAAGAACACGTCAGAGATAACATATAAGAAAACCATTGCGGTAAAAAAATATGCTTCAACATAGTTGACATAACAATAAAAGAGTCATTTAAATGGATTATCCAAAGTCACAGAGCATCATGGCACCAATACAAGAGTCATTTCGTATCTATCTTTCATATCATATATTCTCCTAAAGAAACAAAGACATAGGAACAGTAGTTCTATAACTTCTATTCAATAATCCTCTCTTCTTTTATGTCTTCACTTTTACAAAACCTAAAAGGCAAATTGCCACAAACTAGTCACGTCATTTTTTTTCAGAATTGGGTGAAATTCCAAAACAACATATAACACAAACAAAGCCCAATGGTGTTACAAAACCCTCAGCACACAGCTGCTCCTTGTACTAAATAGATGGGTGAGGGGTGTGATATTTTCACAATTTCAGTAATCAAACAACCAAGAGTTCATATATAGTGGGAGATATGAAAAATAGAAAAAAAAAAAAAAAAAACCTTCACATGTTTTCTATTGATTTCTGGATGGCTAAAATAATGATAGTGTGAGAAAAGCAAAATGAGTATAACCTGAAAAAGTGTGCACCAATAATGCGATCTTGAGAGCTGGTCTTTTCTCCAACCAAGTTGAGGTCAATGGTAGATGTATTTGTCGCCAAAATGCAGTGAGGTGGACAGACTTTTTCAATCTCACTGAAAATTTTTTGTTTCAAAGGGACACTTTCAATTACTGCCTGCAAATCAAAGAAGCTATTTCAAATGGCTTTTAAAAAGACCATAACTATGGAAATCCATCCCAATTTCATCGAACAGTAATATAATGAAGAGAATCAATCTGTGAATAAACAATCTCAAGTGTGGACAGATCATATTCAAAGCAAGCAATCACCCCATTCCAATGGCAAGTTCCCAAATATAACCAAGATTTCAAGATTTCATAGTCATAAGGGACGGCAAGCTCTGCTCACCTCTATGACCATATCCACATCTTTGAAGTCTGAGTAGTCCAATGCACCTTTGAGCATGGAGAGAGCTTTATCTGCCTTATCCCGTGTCAACTTTCCTCTTGTCACTAAGCTTCGAACATTTGCTGTGAAGTGAAATAACAACTTATGAGTTTTTTTAACCATAGAACACAAAAACAAGAGTAATACATATCAGAGTAGTTTTCATATTCTGGAAAACATTTGACCAAACTCAACTCAAGTATTCAGTTTGAAGGATTTGAATTCAAAAGGGAAAAGGTAAATTTTCGACACTAGCATCCCTAAAAAGGGCTGAGGTTCTTCCACTGTGTCTATTACATGTTACAATTAACTACTCTGTGGACTATTGACACGTCCCCTTGCTGCTAAACTCAACAAGATAGCTAGAAAGTATGTGCAAATTATATATAATCAGAAGAATCTAATCGAAAATCAATATGGAAAAACAAACAAAACAACTTTCCCAAATAATAACTATATGTAGGATGTATCAGGATATAGGATTTTTTTGTCAAACACTATTCTCATTTTTTTTATACCAAGTCCTTCAAAGATGGAGACACGATAGCACTAAATCAATAATTTAATGGTCAATCTCAGTCACATTTGTGTACCTTCTATTGTTTTTGTTCCCTTCTGAAGATATTCAGAGTTGATTTCTTTAAGAACAACATGTATGTTGCTCACAATTAAAGCAGTAGCTATGCCAGAACCCATTAGACCACCACCAATAACAGCCACTTTCTTTATATGTCGTGGTTTGAGCCCAACATCAGTGACTTTAGGTATCTGACCAAGTTAACAATGATGAGATTGAAAGAAAGAAATTGGATATACAGATTGCTTATTTGAGCATATCAATAAGTTCACTTCAAGAGTAAAAAAAAAAATATAAATAGAGAGAGAGAGAGAGAGAGAGAGAGCAGTAGACATGAGACTCCTGTGAAGCGAGAACAAGAAAGCAGAATGGAGAACAAACATAAAATTCAGATGTTATGTGCTGCAAGAATGTTTTGCAAATCTATGAGCACGCGATTTTATCTAAACTACTTAAGAACAGAGTATTGATAAGGTTACAATTATATAAATAATTCTTAAACCAGGCATGTTCTTATGAATAAGCCCTCAAATAAAGAGAAATCCACTAGAACAATCCCTTAGTGGTGACAGGATAAATCAATAGAAGTCTATATGCTTACACCTCAAGTATTTCACATTCACAAGCTTCATCATATCGAGCAATTTCATTCCCTTGCAACCTAGATTTTCCCTTTAAGTGTAGGAAAAATCAAAAGATGTTTTTAGAATAAGAAAGAGAATTAAATATTTTCTGGGACAACACAAAGAAAGCATTTACCAAAAAAACAAACACAAAAAGCAAACAATTCAAATTGTGAATTATTTTGGATCACATCTGAAAATTTTTAGAGTATCCACAAACACTTTAACATGATGAATCCGTTGATTTTCATAAATTATTAAAATTTTGTAGACCTTGATTCATATGGTGTACCTTAGACGTCATACGCTGGGCAAAAAAGGCATGCACAAGACCTTTTGAAGTTTCTGTCAAAACTAACTCCTTGAAGACTTTTGCCTCCTGCAACAACAACTCCATTAGAATGTGCATGTACAGATCCCACTTTTTTTATGAAATGACATGTTCTTGTCAGTATAAGTAAAGTACAAATAATAAAGGTCAATTACTGCACGTTCTTGTCAGTGTAAGTACAAATAATAAAGGTCAATTACTGCACAAGCTAATGCCTCAAATATAAACTTAATAAAAAGGCCACGTTCCAGAGAAAAACAGCCACAAACTGCTAAAAGCAAAAGCATTTTGTTCTCTATTGAAGACTTCTCATCTATATCTACAAACAGCAAATCCTGAACTCAAAAGTACCTTTAGAACACCATTATATCCTCCATGAATGATGCCTTCCTCCATTACATCAAGACATGCTTGATGCTGCGGCACATTTGGGGCAATTTTCTTCGCTTGTTGTCTAGCAGCTTTCAGTACCTCACGTGCTTCAGACAGCGAGCCAATTTTATCTGTCCTATGAAGAGAACGCAGCCATGGTTTGCGCCTCTCTGAGATGTCTAAAGCCCATTGTCGAGATACTTTCAGCAGTTCTTGAGAAGGCACAATAGCATCAATTAGACCTAGCTTCTTCCCCTCTTCAGACATGATTGATTTGGATAACTGCAGAGAGTTGAAAATATGTTGAATGAGCACGCAAAGAAGATGTAGTTCCATATGATAAAGAAAATAATATATTGAATAAGCATTTCTGAAAACTGTTGGACATAGCAAACCATCAAGTTCCAAAGGATGAAATTAAGCTTTGGTATTCTTTCCCCGGCCTAATATTAAGCACTTTGAAGTTTTGCAACGTTATTGAGGTTTCTCATTTTATTTAACATACACAGCAAGCCAGGTAAATTAAACAAAATTTCCTTGTTCACTTTCCCATCACTGGGAATGAAAAAAATGTTATAATGGTGATTTTTACATATAACTTGTTTAAAACTCTCTCGCAGGCTAACAGCTGACAGTTCAGGAAAAATTAGTTCTTCAATTTACCTTTTCCAGGTATAAGTTTTCTTATAAAAAAATATGAAGTGGCAACTCATCTCTAAAACCCAAAGAACTGGATTACCTGGAATTCTCCAGTAAGAACGCGCCCAAAAATTTATGAAAACCTTCTAAAGTGAAAGGCTATTAAATTTAACTTCCAATGTGAACATTAATAGAAGGGGAAACCAGGTTTAAACAACAGCTCAAAGGTTGGCTTTTTTTCTCAATCTTTCTCCACCTAAAAGGAATACCATAATCTCAAGATTCATTTAACATGTTTTCAATCATAAATTAATAGAGGATTTACCAGCATAATTTCAATGGCCTTGGACAGCCCCAGAAGCCTTGGAAGACGTTGTGTACCTTAAAAAATTAAACAGGGTTTCACAAGTTTAGTCCACTGTGTAAAAAAAATACACAGCTGAACTTGAAAGCATGTGTTCATGTCGATGCATTCAAGTTCTACATAGAAAAGTAGCCAGACCTCCAAATCCAGGAATCACTCCAAGTGTCAGCTCTGGCAAACCAAGTTGAGTTTTTGGAGCAGCAATACGCGCATGGCATCCCTTCATGAAGATAATTTAGATGATCAAATGGGAAAAGATGATGATAATCAAAACAAAGTTCTTTAAATGCTGCTTCATAATAGAAAACACAAACCATTGCCAATTCCAAGCCCCCTCCAAGTGCTAGTCCTTCCACGGCAGCAACAACAGGCTTTTTACAATCTATATTTGTGAAAGAACAAAAAAAAAAATCAATCAAACAATAAATACAAACACCGCATTCCTTAAATATTCAAAATGAATGAAAAAAGACTCCGAGGGTTAAAGTCGGATAAATACCTTCAATAGTGTTGACCACAAGCTCAACAGATACATCAGGCACCAATGAAATATCTCCTGTCAAGCCACACAATAAAATCATATCCGCAAACACTCAAATAAAAAAACGAAATAATTTGAAAATTTAAAAGAAAAAACCTTGATAGTACATGAAATTATTATAAAAACAGGCATAAATATACCTGTCGCGTGAACTTTCTGGAAAACATTGATGTCAAATCCACCGGAAAACCTGCCACCCTTGCCTTAAAAAAAAAAGGAAAAAAAGAAGAAGAAATGATTATATACTTAAACCAAACCTCCAACCAAAAAGATAAAATAAAATAATCAGATAATTTTGTTTTCGCAATTCGTTATTAATCCTTTATCTTCCAAAACAATTAAATATATAAATAGTCAGTCAGTATTATAAAATAAATTACCAGTAAGAACTAGAGCCTTGACGTCATTTCTCCGGGTGGCTTCATCAAACTTCTCTTTCAATCCCGCAATGACTGCATCACCGTCAAACTCAACACAATCAGTCACAAAAACACCTCAAATTTATAGTTAGAACCGATAGAGGAAGGAGGAGATATTTACTTGGAATAGCTAAGGCGTTGACAGGAGGATTGATAAGAGTCACCACAGCAACGCCGTCGTTTCCAACCTCCATGGTGACGTGAGGCTTAGCCATGACTCTCTCTCTCTCTCTCTCTAGATCGGTTGTTACTACTCGCTTGCAGAAAGTAAAGGAAATGATTGTTTGAGCGCAACTTTCTCTCTCAGTATTTTATAGATAAACATGAATGGTTAAATACTAGATTAGTCCTTTTATTATTTTTATTTTTTAATCCAGTCCCAGTCTTTTAATCTGTTAATGTAAGCCCTGGACTGAATTACTTTTTCTACTATTAACCGTTTCGCAAAAAGTGATGGATTTTTTAATGTATTATTTCTTTTTATAAAAGTGTTTTTAATTTAAAAAATAAAAATCACTTTATAATTGATATTTCTTATTTTATTCTATTGTTTTAGCTTAGTAATATGTTAAATTTGCGATAATTGTTTATGTATTTTAGGACTTTTGTTAATATTAATAGAATTTTTGGCTTTATAAATAAGCCTAATTAGTTTTAATTTTCTCTACCAATTTTTTAATTATTAAAAAACTAGCTCTTTCCGATTTTATTAAACTTAAGGGTTGACCGTGAGTTTTGAAAAATGACAAGGGGACCATTGTATAGATGTTGGGAGTCATTACCTCGTGGGAATGGAGAGAGATCATATTAACGAAAATCAGATTGACAAAGGGCTAGATTAATATGATAACAGTAGTTTAGGGACCAACCAAGGCTATCACCATGACTCGGATAATGGTTTGCCAATTGAGTTGTTTTTTATGCTTTTTTATAATTTTATTTTTTAATATTATATTAATTAATAATTTATTTTTATAATTTATTTTAAATTATTATCTCCATATTATAATTTAAGTTGTTAATTTAACAAATTGACTTAAAAAATTTTAAAAAAAAATAATTATGTTTTTAATTTTATTATTCAATAAACATTTTATTAAAAATTAAATTTTGTATTGTATTTTAATTCATATTTTATAACATTATTATGGTTTTATAATTTAATATATAAATTAGTAAATTAATCTAAATTAACTTGAATTAAATTAATTTTAATATTTATAAAAAAATATTTTAAATCAATCTATATTATATTTTAATACATCAGCTAAGTTATTTTTAAGGTAATTCATATATAATTTAATATTTTTAATAATACATAAATATTTTTCTTACGGTAATTTATTTTTTTAAGCCTATTCGGTGGGGGATAAAAGTTGGTGGCGCTGGAGGAGTAATCATCTACGTTTGATATTTGATGAAACCGAGATAATAATTGGTTGGAAAGTTTGGTAAGAGAACCAAACGGATTGATCTGTGAAAGTATTGGCTATCACACGACCGTCTCAACTCTTACCAACCGTCATCTTGTCTCAACCTGGTCAACGCTAATGATGTGTATGTAGCAGATACGGTTGATATTAGGTAGCATTAAAAAAAATAGATTATTTTATATTAAAATATAGCTTTCGTTTCAGAACAGATAAATAATATTTTTAAAGACAAAAAAAAAAACTTAAATACTAAGTCTTGCACTCACGTTATGATTAAAAATTAAAGCTTGGGATTAGAATATTTAGGTGCTAGTGAATTCTAGCAACCCATGTGATGACATGTTATAGGCAATTTAGTTTTTCGATCCCAGAACGAGAATCATCCATTCAGGCATATTTTTTAAATTATTTTTTATTTAATTTTATAATGATTTTAAAGATATTGAAATATTTTTAGCGATTTAAATTTTTAAATAAAAAATATAGTTTTTCTTGAGTAAGCAAATCAAGAAATTATATTTTGGATAGTAGTCTATTAATATAATCACTAATTATGGAGAAAATCAAGCACCACATCAAAGGATATCATCATGAATCTTAAGTAATTGAATATTATAATTTATTTTTATAATTGCTTAGTTATACTCTAATTAATAATAGGCTGATTGTAACCCCATATCATATTGATAAAAAATATATTATTTTTAACATTTCCAATTAATATTCTCTTCTTTTTTTTATTTATACATTTTTTTTATTTAATGAAGCAATGGTTTTTTTTGTGTCAGTAACATGGTTTTTCTTTATAAAAACACAAAGCAACTAAAATAAAAATTTAATTGATTTAGATTTAAGAGAAAAAACATTTTTCTTTTCCAAAAATCCCTTTTTGTTATTCATTTATTATTTTTTCGTAAAAAATATCTTTCTTTGTCAAAAGCATGCTTTTTCATATAAAAACTTCTAATATAAAAAATAACGTCACAATTTTATTGGAAAAATTAATTCAAGGAAAGAAGAATAAACATTAACAATAAAAAAAAGAAAAAATAATTTATTTTAATTAAATATCCATGTGCGTAGTATTTTTTTAAATATTTTACACATACAATTATTGAAAAACGTTGCATATAACCCTAAATATCTTTAATTTTATTTATAAAAGGTGGCATGATTGAGTAATTTTATATACATCATTGTAATTGTTTATCTAAAGATAATTTTATTTTAAAAAAGAAAAAAAGTCAAAAGAAAAAAAAAAAGATCAAGAGAAGCTAGGTGTTTATAGGTCTACATTGTCAATCTTGTCTGTCTGATCTGTAAAAAAAAAAACCATTAGTACCTGGCCCTGGAAAGTTAGGCTCGCTTACCTAATTTCCTTAAAAAGAATCAAGTTCGCTAGACGTTTTATTAAAAATGGTAGCTGATGTATCTTCCACTACAACAAATCCTGGCCATTGAAAGCCGTTGAAAAATCAGGTTTCGGGGTATTTGAACACAAATAAATTTATTTAAAAAAAATAATTTCATATATATAGAGAGAGAGAGGAACCTCTACAACCCCCTTTACAACCCAAAAAAATCTTTTAATCATATGAAAATTAAAAATTAAAAAAATCATAAAAATCTTTTTGAATAATAACTAATATCACACTCTCAACTACCTACTTAATTCTTTTATAATTGTAATAGTAATGTGTGTAAAGTCTATATAAATAAATAAAAAACGTTAATATAAACGTGGCGAGGTTGGTATGTGATATTGTAGGTTTAGATTATGGAATTGAGGTTTCAACAGGTTTTGGCCACAACAAAAATTTGAATGCATTCTGAAAGGTAATTGTCTTTTTCCATTATATCTGGGTTTGAACCCTGGCGTGCACGTCTGTCACCCCGCGGTACTTTACATGTTTATTGGGTTTGTAGGGTATTCAGTGGGCCGTGGGGATTAATCGTGGTGCGCACAAGCTGGCCCGGACACCCTACGTAAATAAAAAAAAAAAAATTACACTTGGGGGGTGGGGGTGTTAAAAATTTATCATCAAAATTTACTTGTGGTGACCACATTAATCTTAAAGATATATCTTTATGATGATTTTAAAGATATTGAAATGATTTAAATTTTCAAATAAAAATATAATTTTTATTAACTAAACAAATCAAAAAAAAATATTTATGATAGTAGTCTATTAAATACAATCATTAATTATGAAGAAAATCAAGCACTACTTCAAAAGTACGCTTTGTTTTCGTAGCTGTGTTTGTTGTTGTAACAAACCATGAAAACTTAATGTTTGATAATATTAATAACATTTGAAACGTGTTATTGTTGAAAGCAACTTAATGCTGCTTTTAACTCATCATGACTTTATTTTTTTTTTAAATTAACGTGGGTGTCTGGGTCAACTTACACGCATCACGACTAATCTCACGGGTCCTGAAGTTAACGACCATGTAAATCTCCAGTGGCCATCATATAAGCAACTAAGGGCTCAAACCTGAGACCACAGAGAAAGCAAACTCCTTGATCCCAAGTCTTGACCACCACCTAGATGGTTCTCATCATGACTTTATTGGTAACGGTGGAGAGTGACTCTACTGTTCACGTGAACAGTGAAGCCACCCTCCACTTTTCTAGTTAGATCCGATCGAGTTTAAAGTTAAATGTATTAAACCGAATCCTATCTAGTAAAATAAAAATTATTAAAATAATATATTTATTGAAAACCTATTTTTTTCAATATAAATATATATTTTTTCAAATTATTTTATAATCTCAATTTAAAAAGTATTCTTAATCAAACACATTAAACTATTTTTTTAATCATAATTTTAACGAAACAAATATAAATATCATACCAACTTCAATTAAAAATACTTTTTATAAAATATTTTTTTCAAATCACAATCACAAAAACCATCACAATACCAAAATATCATCATGAATCTTGAATAATTGCATATTATAATTTATTTTTATAATTGTTTAGTTATACTCTTATCTATACCTTTTAATACCTTTTAATAGGTGGATTGCAACCTTATAAAAAAATTTATTTTTAACATTTCCAATCAATATTCTTTTTTTTATGCATTTTTTTTATTTAACCATCACAATACCAAAATTTTTTTTTATTTTTAAAAATTTATTTTTAACATTTCCAATCAATATTAGCTCTAAACACACACTGTTCTATCTATATATTCTCTTACAATTTATGATAAGTTCTTTCATGGTCTATTAAATTTAAGAAAAAATATCTCATCTCAATAAACGAATATAAAATATAATTATTTTTCCAATTTAAAAAATATAAATGTTTCATCCCTTAAAAGAGAAGTAAGAGCTGATAAATTGCATTATCTAAAAAAAAATATACTAAACCAATAACCTATATTTCAAAAATGGTTCCATACCCTATAATTAGAAAATTGAATATTAATTAAATACGTAACCATGCTATGATTTGATATTGAAGGAATTGTGGACTAATTGTTATCTTTATAGCTAATGTTTATCGAAATCGGAAAGAAGCTTGAAGTTACAGCGTACAGGGCAGTAATTGAGAAAGGCTCAAAGTTCAGGGGTGATTGTGCAAAGGCTGAAAGAACTGTGGAAACGACCTGCCGTTGGCTTCCAAACCAGCATACCATCCTCACGACTACTTGGCTCTGTCTGGCACGTAACAAGTAAAACCCTTGTCGAAAACCAAAGGCCTAAGAGACAGCGACAAGCAAAAATGGCTTCCACGAAGGTATTCTCCAGGTTATCAACAAGGTTACAGCCTTTCCTGTTCAAGCTCAACAAGAAATCGTTATCTGCTGAACTCTCTTCACTGAAATCCAGCTCTCTTCCAACGCAGGTTTCTGCTCCTGCAACAACAAGACGCCTCGCTCGCTCCTCAAGGTGACATCTTTTCCTCTCTCTCTCTTAAAGGACTTTTCGATATTCGCTTTATTTATTTTCTTACTTTTGTTTTAATGGATAGATTACCACTGCAATTGAGTTGCGTCGAATCAATGCTGCCATTGCACAGCGCGGTAGCATCAGCGAAGTTGATTTCGAGCTTGTCTAGCGAATCTGACTCCTGGGCTTTAGTGCCTCAAGGTGGGTTTGGCTTTCCGTTCCTAGCATTTTCTCCCCAACTATATGCTCGCCACCTGTTTGTTTATTTTACTGGCCGAAAATGGTACATTTATATTGTTCTCCACAATGTAAAATATATCAGCTTGTTCAGTGAAATCATTGCGGTAGACTATAAAGATTTTTTTTTTTGCAATAAACGGACTTGTGGAAATCTAATCCAGAAACAATTCCCACAGGGAGCCATGATCATGACCAATAGAAAGCATAAATTGTTTTGGATTTTTTCACAGACCTGTGAAGTGGTCAATTGATTACAACTGATGGTCTAGGCTTTTCTTAGATTCAGAATCCATGGGGTAACCGTAGGTTGCTATCAATCACATTTTTTAGGGGAAAAAAATCCAAGGATCCTTACTGATCATTTTCAATGGGTTTTGGTAATTTTTAAAGACCCTGGGAACTTCTGCAGTTCTGATGTTGAAATGTCTCCCCTTTATTAGTGTTCCTTTATATCTGCCAGGATATCTTCCTTGCTTCTGTTTAGTAACGTTCGTGCTCATTGTTCCAAAAAGAAGGGGGGGGGGGTTATATAACTCATCTGGACTCTGCAGAAGATCATCAATGGTGTTCAATTAACGAAATAAAATGTGAGGTGGTGGTATGGTGGGAAGAACAACACATTGTTGTGATGAAGCTTGATTATGAAAGTAGAAACATCCATAGGTGTTCGATGTTCAACTTCAACAGTGTCTCTGGTGATAGGTTGAAAATTTCAAATCTGAAATTGGTTTCTGCATCAAAAGAGTGTGGTGCTATGGTGGCAAGAATGTTATATGATTTTGACCGAGCCTGATAAGGAAAGAAGAGATGTGTATAGGTAATGGTCTGAAGAAGAGATAGGAAAGGAGAGACTCATATGATTCTAAATGCTTTCAAATCTGAAAGTGGTTTCTGCATCAAAAGAGTGTGGTGCTATGGTTGCAAGAATGTTATATGGTTTTGACCGAGCTTGATAAAGAAAGAAGAAATGTGTATAGGTAATGGTCTGAAGAAGAGAGAGGAAAGGAGAGACTCATATGATTCTAAATGCTTTCAAATCTGAAAGTGGTTTCTGCATCAAAATAGCGTGGTGCTATGGTGGCAAGAATGTTATATGGTTTTGACCGAGCTTGATAAGGAAAGAAGAAGTGTGTATAGGTAATGGTCTGAAGAAGAGAGTGGAAAGGAGAGACTTATATGATTCTAAATGCTTTCATATGCTGGAATGATTTTTATTGATCCCAGTTATTAGGTAATGCTGATTGATGTAAGAACTTTCAGATTTTGGCTGCAGTTTGATTGGTTGATTCAGTGGATTGATGTCATGTTTTCTCAAAGAGAACTGTGAAAGGAACAGTTGCTAGCCATAAATTAATGACTGGTTCTCTATGAAGGTCTTGTTTTACTATTCAAAAGGTTGTGCAAGCTACTGTTTTTCCATGCTGCTTTTGCTAGTTGTTACTATGAACTGAACTGTCATTTCTAACCCCGTTAACTGAGATGATCCTTTTGTACATGCTGAAAGAACTTTGTTTTAAAGTTTTAAAGTGAGTTAGATAGCCGTAGTGGCATTTTATGCTCTCTACTGTCAATACTAAGGAAAATGAAAATTATAAAACAGAAATGACAATAAAATCACCATTCACATGACAGCCTTTTCACTTTATTTGTTTATTTTTGAATTGTTTAAGAACCATGTTACTGAAACATACATGTTTTCCCAGTCTGAGTGAGATGTAACCATGAGATTTGTTTCTTTAATAACATCAAACATGACATGACATTACATTTGTCATTTTCGTATGATGTGACCAACTACCTGACTACATTTTCGTATGATGTGACCACCTACCTGACTACCTACTTTGTTTATATTGTAGGTGTCTCGATGCCTTTATGACAGTCTCTTTCATGGGAACTTTTGACAGGGTGAAGATGAGTGGCCTTTCCTGTTGCATTTATTTGCTCTGATCTTACAATCGTAACATTGAAAAGGAGTGTTTCCTACATGTGAAACTGAGTAGGACATGCTTCGTTATGTTCATCTTTCATTGTTTTTGCTGTACTCATTTATTACTTCCTTTGACTGTCTATATCCAGGAGGCTGGATGATTTTTTGTTCTCTCAATTAGATTTTATGGAAACTGTAGGAGATAGCGCATCTCTCTTAAATTTGTATTCAGCTGCAAATTTCATGTCTTGCTTGCATACTTTTGATTGATAGATAACGTTTGAAGGATAGGATTAACTACCATTAGGCTATGCCTCAGACATTTACAGATCCTTGTGTACTGAGTTACAAGAGTCATTGATTTAGAACTCAAGCCAATAAACCATACCTTGCCAATAGATCTACCAGTCGACCTGTACCACTGTTATAGCAACCATTACCTCCTTGTATTGTTTGTAGCATGCTGCAAAACTGGTGTACTTGTATGCTGTGAAATTCGTTGTTTGCTGCTTACTCAACCATTGCAACTTGGTAATTACTAATTAGATGTCTAGGAAGCAGAATTACCACATGCAGAGAGGGCAAGTTGGTCAAACCTTAGTGGCACTGCATGTACAGTTTGAGCTCGATAGCAGAAGAATCCTAATAAATTTGACACTAGACTGATTATGGTTGGAAAGTTTATTTCAAATGTAAGTAAACCATAATTTTAAAATTTGAAGGGATTGTTTTTGGCACCGTGATTTTAAATATACTTTACTTGTTTTGGCGCATGATGATTGTTTCAGCTTCCTTGCTGGAGTTCGGTCATCCAGAAGTTATGGATTTGAATATGAATATATAAATTCCCAACCTACCATTGGAGATTTGAGAAAGTGAACGTTAAGATCTCTCATTTTGGACGAGTTTGAATCTATTGCCGAACGTGAAAAATCTTAGAAACTTACACTACCAGAGTCATACCTGAGAATGCAAACCAGCAAATAGAGTATTAGAATTTGTATTTGGTATTGTTAGAATATTTGAGTTTGTATTTGGTATTATGGTATATGATATTTTTCAATGGAAAATGTGTTTAATTAATTTTTTTTAATTTTTTAATTTTTTTTAATATTATTACATTAAAAACATTTAAAAACACGTGCAAAAATATTAATTAAATAAAAAATAATTTTAAAAATATTTTAAAAAGGAGGTTGTAAGATAAAAACAAATACTCTTTAAATCCCAATTAAGGATCTAGTGTTTTTTCTTGATTAGCATAAAGGAAAAAATATTTTCTGAAAAATAATGCCTAAACTAGCAATATATCCATGCTTTACCAAACATTTAAATATACAAAAGTTAATATACATGTTTTGTAAAGATTTAAGGCACCGACTGCGAATGCTGTGCAAACTATATTCCTTTAATTTTTTTAATTTTTTTTATAAAATTAATTTTTTTATATATTTCTAGATCATTTGGATATGTTGATATTAAAAATAATTTTTTTAAAATAAAAAAATATTATGTTGATGTATTTCCAAGTATAAAGTACTTAAAAAAAAAATCATAACCACACTTCTAAATACTCTTTTAATAGTCATGAAAGAAACAAAAATAATTCAATGAATAGAAAAAGAGAAGAAATGACACAAAAAGATAAAAGAGGAGAGAAACAAATAAAAAAAATAAAAGAAAGAAAGAAAGAAAAAAAGAAAAAGATGTTAGAGATATCACAACTTTAATGATCTAATGATGACCCTCTTGATAATATTAAAAAATCTTTACAATATAAATCTATAAATATCATAAAAAATAAATTTTAAAGCTGATGATAAAATACCAACAAGTAAGTATACTATCATCTTTAGACAATATATGTGACTTATCATCAATTTCAAAGTTAATTTTTAATAGTGTTGATGAATTCATCTTGTCATTTTTTTTTAATTATTTTATAAGTATTATCATTAGAGCTATAAAGTATTTATGCTATGAAGTATTTCTAATATCTTGTAGTTTTATTTTTTTTTTCTCTCTCGTCTGTAGTTTTTTTATGCCATGTCATCTTTTTTTAAGCCAATGGATTATTTTTGTTACTTTCATGATCTGTAAACCATAGATATGCAAGAAGAAAAATTAAATTTGCTAGTTGCAGAGGGAGCACTTGCACAACACACCTAGTTGTGCAGGCAATACCCACATGTATTGATTCTTGTATTATTTTTTAAGATGTACTCATTTGAGAAGTATTTTTTTTTATTGTACTAGTACAATGAAAAACTCTTCAAGCACATGCATGATTGGGACAACGCCCAGCAAACCTCCGTCAAAGAATAAATGGAAATCAATGCTTAACAATGTGTCAGCATTTAGGAATGTTCCTAAAGTCAGCTTTTTTATTCGAAGATTCATGGGTTTCAACCTAAAATATCAAACTCATAATCTAAAAATTACATACAATTCCTCGGAATACATCCCCCCCTGTCCTATATTTCCTACAAAATTTATTTGCCCCTTCAAATTCCTTTCCAAATTCTTGACATTCCTACTTGAATTCTGATGGCATATAAAATTAAAAAAAAAACTTTTCTAACCATTCGAGCTTGCTAAAACTATTGGAGTTTATCTCTCTTCTCTCCTCCCCCACTGCCTCTCATCCCGCTATTTTTTTTTTTTTTTTTGCTGTCTTACCAAGCCAGACTATACCTAGCACATACCTTCATGCATTTTTTCAGTTCGTAGTACAAGCACTGCACTTTTCTATTTAGAGTTTCTAGCCCTGCAATCACCTCCATATATATATATTTCAGTTAGTAGAGCTATGCAGCACAGAACTACATTTCTACGCCAATAGTTGTTTTTTCCATATTGAAAATCACCAACTTCTTCGTCTAAGCACCATAATCTGCACCATTTATACAACTTCATTCTCCGCACACTAAGATATCTGCAACTGCAACTTAAAAGGTAAACAAATATGATGAATATCTATAAATATTTTTATTATTAAAAAAGTTAAAGTAATTTCATATATAATAATAAATTATCGAACAATTTTAAAAATCATCATCAACTAGCAAACAATTCTAAAAACCATAAACAACTAACAAATCATAGAAGTTTATGAATAGAAATATAAAATATGCAAATACACATTCTCTACAATTTCATTATGTTTCCTTTTAGTATACTTTATTTTATCTTTTTATATTTATTAATTTAAATATTAGAATATCCCTTCTTTCCACAAGGAACACCAATGAAAAATAAAAGCCTATATTCAAGACTAGTGTCTAACCTATGATGCAATCACGGGAAGTCTAATTCCTATTTATAGTTTTTTTTTTTTAATGACTTCATCAAATTCAATACTATTTCTGATAAAAGATGACATATCATTCAATTTTTTTTCTTGACATAGGTTGATACTTAAATTGTTATTTAGCATGCACGCACATAAGTTTATGAAAACAAATGAGATTATTAGATATTCTACAAATATAAAAATATATAACATAAAATAAGATTTGTGATTCATGTGGATGTGGAGGCAATATAGCTAGCTATTCCCTCTCTCTCTCTCTCTCTCCATATATATATATATATATATATATATATAAGGGTATATTTTTATTAGTACATTGCTATGGATTTTATCGATGAAAATATTTCTTCGGCATTTATCGAGGGAATTACAATAAAAAAAATAATTAAAATAAAGAAAAAAATAATAACATGCCATTTTTACCAATAGTATTACCGACGGAATAAATTCCATCGGTAAATTTATTGGTAAACTGTGAATACTATTCATCAAGTTAATTACAAAGGGAATCATCAATTGAAAATTCTGTTGGTATTTTTCAGAGAGCTCTGAAACTATTCAATTATCAATTGCTCTGTAATATTTATTCTTTATAGAAAAATCACCGATGAATTAAAAAGTTGTTGGTGTTATTTGGTGATTTTTTTTAAAAATTAATTAAATTAAAATTTTAAATTAAATATTACAAACGGATTAAAAAGTCATCAGTGATATTTGGTGGTTTTTGAAAATTTTTTATTAAATTAAAAATTTAAATAAATATTACAGATAAAATCACCAATAAAATAATTAAAAATATTAATATTTAATTATCTGTTGATAAAACACCAAATAAAAAGTTTAAGATCTTTAATTTCACAACAGACGGGGCTCCTCTCTTCTTCTTCCCCATATATAAAAAACATCAATATCCATTTTTTTTCTTCTCTTCTCTCCTCAACTCCTTCTTTTCTCCTCCATGCTTAGACATTTATTCTTCTTTTTTCTTGTTTTTTCTTATATTTTTTAATTAATATACTTTACAATTTTTTTTCTTTTCTTAGCTTCACTTATAACCACATTAAGGTAAGATTTTTTTCTTTTTTTTCATGTTTTTTTACTATATATTTTTTTATTTTTGTAACTGTTTTTGTTTTTAATAATTGTATGAATATTGTTGTAGAATTTTTTTTCATATGATTTTCTTCTTCTTTTTTCCCAAGTGTTTTGAGTATTAGAGAGTGTGATTTCATTGATAAATTAATTATCAACAGAATAATAATACACATACCAATGGAAAATTCTATCAATAAATGTAAAGATTATGGTATGATAGTTATATATAGAGGCAATATTGTTAATATTTATTATCTTAACATATGATAAATAATGCAATCAATATGTTCAAGCCATGTGTTTAATATATAAATTCCACCTATAATTCCATCAATTATGTAAATTAAGGTGACTATATTTTTTAGAGAAATAAAAAAAAATATCATATTCTTTTGTGCTCTATTTATAAATATATTTTTTCCTTGTCTATTTTTTTTTACGTGTGAGAATGTATGTTAGGAATTTTTCTCAAGTCTCGAGATATATTCCTTCCTTGTAAGTAAATTTGAGGTGGCCTTTGAGTGCATGCATTCAAGTGGTGGTGGGTGTATTTCTTCC